CTGATTGCCCCTAAGCATGCAGTCCCCTGCTGGCCCCTCCTGGATGTGTGCCAGAATTATTTTCTCAAACAGCTTGCCTAGGATCAAGGTAAAACTAACTGGCCTATAGTTTCCCGGGTCCTCCTTCCTCCCTTTTTTGAAGATGGGAACCACAGTGGCCCTCTTCCAGTCTTCCGGCACCTCTCCAGTGCACCACGAGAGCTCGTAAAGCCGTGCCAGGGGACCTGCAATGACCTCGGCTAGTTCCTTTAGAACTCTAGGGTGAAGATCATCCGGACCGGCTGACTTGAATACGTCCAGCCCCTCCAGAAGCTCCCTTACTAAGTCCTCGCTAACCCTTGGCCCGCGTGTGCCTCCCCCGGGGCCCGAAGGGGGCCCAGCAGGGAGGTGGCTGTTCTGGTTCCTACTTAGGAAGATGGAGGCAAAGAAATCATTAAACATGTTAGCTTTGTCATCTGGTGTGAAGACCAAGTTTCCCAAGTTTCATCTCCTTTGTTTTAATGGTCTTAGTATTCCATTAATCAAACTAACCTTTCTTAAGGCAATTTTGCTATCCACTAGCACTTATTTAAGCTTTAGTTAAGTAGGAAAGGGAGGATGAGTCATTTGAAAATTGGGCTCTATCTCTGCTCTATGCAGCTATAACATGGGGAAAAAATATTCTGCTTTTCAAAAACAGGATGCATATTATATTCCAGGACATGTGTATGTGATAAAATATGGTAATTAATTCTCCATCATTAGAAATAAGTTGTAATTTGCTTTGCTAATAAGGAAATCTTATTAAATTGATAGTCACTTTATGCATAATTTAAAAAACTGGCAAACCTTCTGATTTTCCTCTATTTCATTTTTCATTTGTTGGTTTACAGGAACTCTGGTCAAAGATCTGTAAGAATAAAATACTGATATCACTCAACTATCTTGTATTTAAACAAGTATTCTTCTTTATCATATATATGGTGTTTTAAGGGCTTAAAATCAACCTGAACAATTTCCCAGTTGTTGACTTAAGCATAAAGTAGCTCCAACATTATTCAACATTCTCTGTAATTATTTGAAAGGAGAAGTGTTAAACATGTGGACCACAGGCTGAATCTGGCCCATGGAGTTCGGTCATTTGGCCTGCAGGGTGTTCTCATAGGTGGGGATGCCCAGTTCTGAGGGCTGGACTGAGCTAATAGCGCTTGTTGCCATGGATGCCAGAGCCCCTGTGGGCCTGATGTTAATCCTTGCAGCTGCCAGAGCTGCTGCTTCTGCGTGATTCTGGAACCAAAGGAGTTAAAACCACTTGCCCTCTCCACACTGCTACACCCACCACTAAAAATGCAGTTTTGAGTCTTCCCTGCTGACTAAGATTGAAGGCAGGAAGAAAAGAAAGCTAACAGAAGCAACATTAACTCCTAGGTTCTGCACAAAAACGGTGGTTCTGGCAGGCATGGGAATTAATGCTGCTGCTCACAGGACATCCACGCCACGGGAAACCCCGCAATCTGGATCCAGACCATAGGAAGCTCTGAGGGGTCAAACAAGTTTGACATTCCTGTTTTATAGAATATCTAACATATCAGAACCAGTGATATTATTTCACTATCCAAACTATTATCCAGTCCAAAATTTGAAACTTGGATGTTTTGAGATAGGCATCAAACTCTATATTTAGGTACCAAAATAAAAGTGGCTTGGGGAATCCACATTTTAAAATTTTGTCCTACTGAAAATGAAAAATGTGAAGAATGAGCACTTACAAAAATAGATTAGTGTTGTTTCATTTTAATCAAAGAAAAATGTGGATTTGAGGTAATTTTTTTAATTTGACAATTGGGGATTTTTTTTATCAGAGAAAACCAGGATACCTGGTGATTATAGAAGGGGTTTGGGATTGAGATTTCTGGATTCTGTTCCCAACTCAGCCATCTAATTTACAGTCCTGGGTTAATTACTTAACTTCAGCACCTCAGTTTACTAATCTGAAAAACTGTTGTAATAATAAAAATAAAAAATAAAATATCTTATGGTCATAAAGCAAGGCGCCATAAGTGTTTGTAATACAACAGCACTGAAAGTGACACAATAACAAACTCAAATTATTAATCATAAGTTTCCTTAGTTATTAATGGCTTTTATCCTGTATTCAGAATAAACATGGTTTGTCTCCTTTAATGTTTAAGAAAGCTCTTTTAACTTTATCTTTCATGATGTTATGATGAATGGGTTTCATTTGTAAATATAAGACCCAAGCAGGCAATTTAATTTCACCAAAATTTGGTTGCGTATTTTTTCTGACAATGCCAATTATCACTGATGGTTAGATATCACAGTTAGAAAAGAAATATTGTACTTTTCTACTTCAGTTCATCTTTTACATGATTAAATCTTATGCTTTAACACATAACTGCAGTTATTTCAGCAATGTTATCTGTGGATCTGGGCTTTTAAGAAAATGTGGAGAATCAAAATCCAAAAATAAATAAGCACACTAAGGACCCTACCAAGCCATTTTTATTTTAGGTATCAAGAAATATTATCCTAGCACAATGGCACAGAAAGAAAAAGAAGTAACTTGATTCAGCTCTGACAAGAATCCTCCTAGAGGTAACCTCATACATTACTGATCTTGATGATGGGATTGAGTGCAGTTAGCAAATTTTCAAATGACAAGCTGGGTAAAGCTGCTGATATTTACATTTGCATTGCTCCCAATCACCTGACTTGTGCTCTGAAACATGAGTGCATTGGCCACCCAGTGAAGTTATAATAAAATTCATGAAGCACAGGCAACTACCTGCCAGTTCAAGGGAAGCCTAGTATCATGGTCCTGGGCTCCTCCTGAACTGGCAATGGAGCACAACTGGGATCTGATCCCCAAACCACAATCATTTGTCTTGTCATGAATGTGTGGCATGGCAGCAAGTGCAATTGTTGGGACTGTGGCTCAATCCCATCACACCTTTAACTGAATATCCATCAGCAGCCTTAGTGAAACACCTGACCTAGTAAGAGTCACAGTAAACAATTTCCCTTTGCCTGATGAGGAAGATCTTTGCTCCCACAAATGAGGTTTGCTTCAATTTGGGCAGGTTGAGAAGTCTAGATTTTTCTATCTCCTCCCTAAAAACTGATTCTGTTACTGCTTTGATCCACCATGCCAGGAAACTCTTCTCACAGTAAAGAGCAAATAAAACTTAAAGCCAAATAGTTGCAAAAATAGCTGATTTATTATTATTATTTTATATAGCCTTATCTTATTCCATACTTTCACTAATGAAAGAAAATGGTGGCCAAACAACACAAAGGAAAATCATTTTATGAATGAAGCAGAAATCAAATTGGAGAAATAGAAGTGAGAGCTGGAAAGGACAAAGTATTCCTAGACAGTCATTAGTCATCATTCTGTCTGTCATAAGCAGTGAGGAGGAATTCAAATTCTGCAACATCAAAGACAACAGTATAAAAATACAGAATGGTGCTGTATAAAAATAACTGGTACATGTTTGAGGATGACATACATACCTCAACTCATGCCTTCACTTCTCAGCCATCCCCAAATCATCCTGACAAAGGCTTTATAACCATACCACCACATATTTCCATGCACATAAACCATCTTAATAAATATCCTACTACCAACCTGTGTGAACTATTTTAATAAACAGCATAAATGGTAGGGTATAGGGGCAAGAATGAAAATCTATATTTTTTTTCAAAAAATGTAAATTCTGATTCATATGAAAGGTTAAAAGAGAAGAAAATATAACACCAAAGACTGACAGGAAAACTTGAATCTAAATTAAAAATGACAGCTAAACACCCAGTTGAAAAATGGAGGACAAAGTTAAGGACATAACACCATTAATCTAGAAGCCTGGAAACAGTTTGCTCTGCAGGACACTGCTTTAAGGGAGCCTGCTACCAGCAATAAGCAGCATTATAAACACCACAGAGCTTATATAACATTTTCCCTATCATAAAGTATTTCTGTAAGTGATGGGAATTATTACTGAGAGTTAATTTAGCCAAAGGAATAACTCAGCCATTAAATAAGCAGGGCACATTAAGAGGTTGAAAACCAAAAAGTAAATTGTGTAGCAATACCAACCTAGTAACTACTGTTCTAGCTTTATAGCATTAGTTTCAAATAATTTTTGTGTAATTAGTCATTGTTTAAAAAGAAAATGCTTGTCTCATTTGTATGTCATCATATTCAGCATCACTTGTAGTTTATTATTACTTGTATTAAAAAAGCCCCATAAACCACAATCAGGATTAGTCTCTCATTGTCCTTGGTGGATATGAAATACAACATAAACCCTGCCCAAAGAGCTTAAACTCTAAAGAGAAAGTGGATGTAAAAAAAGTGGAAGGGGAAAGGAAAAGATAAAGCTGATGTGACATTAAAAGGAACATAAAAGTTACATATATTAGTAAAGTGGAAGCTTCAATGCTTTGAGGCTTTTTTGTAGTAAGTAAATAAGACATATTAATGAATCATTAACTGCTATTTGTCGAGCCATTAGGATGGATGTCAGAAAACCCATATTATTACTAGTGTTATGCATTATTATATTGTATACAACAGCAAGATTTTTATAAACTAGTACATGGTGTTTCAAACAACAAAAAGCCTATAAAATTAAATTTCAAAAAACGTATTAGAAATATCTCTTTTGTCACATCATCTGCATAATTGTTAAATGACAGAAATTACATTTGTAAAACACTATCTCAGGGTAACCACACTGCTGGGAAATGGAGTGAGGCATGAAAACAAGGCTCCTCACTGGAAAGGCTAAGAAAAGGGAACTTTCAAAGCAGCTGCATATTTAGAAACAGTCTAAAGACCATTTCTGAGTACCAATACAACTTTTTAATTTCAATTTCACTAATTACAATTTTTCTTTTGAAGTTAGAATTTGTCTATGCCACTGATTCTCAACCTTTTTATGCTGAAGGCGCCCCTCAGAAAATCCCAGCTTTTAATTTTCATTTGGTTTTTGACTATAGAAAAATAATGCACCAATTCATCTGTTGCAAAGAAGTCAAGATGACCACAACAGGTCAGGATGTTTTTTGACACTATGAATTTCAACTTGAAATCTCTGGGTTTATTTTATGAATTATGTAGGTTTTTGCACACCCAACAATGGTAATACTACATGGCACCGTACATGGCCGCAGCACCTTGGTCGAGAATTACTGGTATACACTACTTCCTATTCGCAACCTGCAGAAATCTGCTTATACCTGACAGCTGAAAAATGACTGGTCTACTATCATTGTCCAAACTGACTAAAATGAAAAAAAAGGAATTAAAATTAATTGTATGATTACAATGCTTTCAAAATAACTACATAAAGGGTTATTAGTAAGGCAAATTAAGAAAGGCAATATGGTTTGTTTTATAGAATATGAGCCTGATTCAGCACTCATTTTCTCCACTCTTACTGGTTAAATGGAGTTATTTGTGACTTACAGTAATGTCTGAGATTACTAGTAATTAATATTTATATAAATTTGTCTTGTTTATAATCATTTTCACAAAAGACTACCTTATGATTTCTATGGGTTTTTCACACAGCAAAAAGGAAGACAAATACTTTTAAAAAATAGCTAAACATGGTTATCAAGCCAAAAACAGCTGTAGGTGTCTGGACTGCTTTAATACCTGTAATACTTTTATCTGTATTTTTTTGTTATTTTACTTGTTATTTTCAGTTGAAAGTCTACCTTTAAAAAAACAGAACTTTAAAACCTATTTACTCTCCTGTACAATTAAATGAAAGCAAAGGACCGTTAATGTTACACTGCAGTATTCCTTTCTTTTACAGAAAATCAGTGAATACAATAAAGAAAGTTACACAGGGAGTAACTCCCTACATTTAGCAGCATTTAGCACACCATCAAGAAAACAAAAGCCTCTCTCATTAGTTCAAACTCTTCTTAAACAGCTTTTCCAAGGAAGGAACAGAAGGACATTACCTGCTGACCTGTTGATAAGCTCCAAAAAGCCCCAAGGGACACTGTCCTGTCTGCCTTTGTCTTTTCTGCATTACACAGACAACTCTCAGCATTAGCTAGCATACCACATGCTGGCTGCTGTCCGTGCTGTTGAGGAGGGGAGGGAAGTTGGGAAATCCCTGCTTGAGAAGGGAGTGGTGAGGGGGGGTGGGCAAGGGGAAGCTAGGCAGACCTTGCGGTACCTGCAGTCTCTGCCAGAACTCCAGCAAGGGGGCAGAGGGACAGGGTCAGCCCTGCTCTATAGCAGACAGCCCAACCCAGGGCTGAAAAGCATCTGGGATACTGGGAGACTCTAGTTTTAGTTAAACCAGGAAGGGATCTGGGACAGACATTGCATAAACCGGTTTGAGCCAAATCAGTTAAGTCTGATACTACATTTAACCAGGTTTACCTCAAACCAGTTTCAGCCATTTTCAAACTGGTTTATGTGCATTGAATGTCTGTTCTGTTACAGGCTTAAACAAGTTTCTGATCACTTAAACCAGTTTATGTGTAATGTCTGCCCCTAGCCTAGAGGGTAACCCTATTTTGCTTCCTATATAAATCAGTAGTTGACACAAATAATTGTAGGACAAGTTGTCACACATAGTACCTGTCATAGATAAAGAATTATTTAAAGTTGCAAGGTTGCATGATTTGGATATAAATTTCTACAATGTTCATTAAATTCCAACCCAAACATCAAATGATAATTCATATCACCATAAAAAGCAATTTTATCATACCTGGCCTTTATAGGGAAGTTCTGTGCAATGTCTTTCATTACCGTTAAGGCATCATAAACAGGGGTTGATCTAATTTGAGAAGCTGCTTGAAAACTGAGATCTGTAAAAAAACAAAGTATCACTGGAAAACACAATATAAATCAACACAGACTCAATTTCATAAAACACAAACACGTACAAATGGTCAAAACTTCATATTTCACTCGCATAACACCCATCCAAAAATCTTAAAACATTAACATTGGAAGGTAAGTATACAGATGTTAGGAAATGCTAGTTTAAGTTTCCTGTACAAATTTACCATGGCATACATTGTGTGTATAATTTTCTAAGTTTACACACAAAAAAAAATTCCATCATGTAGCATCAGACTGATTACTACAGCAATATCAGTAGAATTGGACCTTAGAAACAACAAATAATTCTGCCAGTTAAACTAAGGGAGTAATTTACACCAATAGCACTATATTTTTTTCTATGCCAACCAACACTAAAATGGAAGAGAATATATATTTTACTAGTGGAGCTCACAAGTATCTGTTTTTGGCCCCCCAAAAGGTAAGAATCAAGATTCCTGTATGCTAGTTCAAGCTCTGGAGGGAGAACGTACTCTAGCAGTCACTGACCCAGTTACCTATTTCTCACAAACCCAACATCTTTTGTCATGCTGTAACATAGTGCTTCTTTCTCCATACCTGGGTCCTTGTCCCATGCTTACTCTCTCTCTGTAGTCAGCCCCAGTCTCTATTCCTCAAGATCCTAATCCTTATCTTCATCTCCTTGCCCATCCAGTCCTTCTTGTTCCCTAAGGGTGTTGACAGAAGTGATATTTTGTCACATGATCAGCCCTTTAAAAATGCTCTACACCTGTGCCCTGACAGAAGTGCACAGCTGCAGAATGTTTAATAAGTGCCCAATCACGCAACAAATGAACCCTCATTACATAAGGGTTCAGATGAAGGTGCTCCAACGTGGAGTATCTTCATTAACTTCTGTTAGAGTCTGCTTAGGAGCAGGGCTGGGCTCATGCAGCCCAGCCCTGCCCCCAGTGCAGAGAGGCTTCTATCAACCCCCATCTCCCCCCAGTATAGGCTGGGCAAACGCCAAACTGAGCTCTCCCCCCCCACCTCCTGTTCCCATTCTGAAAACAGCACTGGAGCTGAGAGGAAGGACAGGGCTAGGGGAATTCAATTCTCCACCCCCCTCCCTGGACCCAACAGCAAAAGATTGTTGGGGCGGGGGCGCTCACTGTAAATCATGGCACTTCCTGTGAAGTGCCATGAGTTACAGCAGGGAGCTGCACATCTGTTGATACACTCAGAAACTCCTCAGTATTTAACCTCAGTTTCTTCCCACTCACCTCCTTCCCCCGTTCCACTCTCCTCTCTGGAAGTTTCTACACATGAATTTAAGTGGGCTTAAATTTAATGCACATTAAATTAATGCATATTAAATGTTTTTTGGCAGGTGTCTAGACGTGGTGGGACTTGTAGCTAACTTTAGTCCCAGGTCAGTCCAGCCCTGCCATATGCCCCTGTGGGCATTGAGAGGAGCTCCAGCCTCAGGCCACATGGCTGCCAGCACTTGCAGCCATCATAAAATCATACTCTCCACACTGTGACCTCTGGGCTGATGCTTCCTGTGCCAGAGCATCAGCATGGCAGAGACAAAGGCAAGAGACAGAGACAAATGCCTGCTCTGCTCGTGCTGCAGCTCCAGTGATCATCGCCTGCTGGAATTCACCATTCAGCGCAAGGTGACAAAGGCATGCAGTAAGGCAGCGGCC